TGTTGCTGGTGAACACTTCTAGAAAGGAATCACGATGCAAACAAACCAAACGTGGAGATACAGCCATCAAACTCCTCTTTCGCATAGTGTATTCGTCATTTGACCTATCGCCACCTCTGTAAAGAATGATGACACCACCCTCACCACTTGAACAGACCGGCCAAAACCTCAGAACTGGGTGGGCAGCACTTGATTGCCAGTGACCTGTACATGTAGACTGCACATTTAGCACTGTAACAGTACCAACCTAGGCTCCCTTGGTTACACTGAGCGATTTGATTAACTAAGGTCACCTACAGCAACTGGTACTGAATTTCCAAGTCTCTTCTAAATGCACTTCTTCTAAATTGATATGTCACGTTAAATTTTTAAGAAAACCAAAAAACAGAGATCATATGGACTCACGTCATCATCTGCAAATGTTTTCGGAAAGGAGGAGACATCCGGCCCCACTGCAGGATAGTCCAGGGAAGTTAGCTTCTCTTTGGCATGTCTGCAGAAGCATAGGAGAAGAGCCATGTCACTGCTGGACTGTATATGACATCGTAACGTTATACGCAGTGTACTGACTAGCAGCCGGTCATGCAAGACTGTCATGCGTACAGACATGGGCTTTGCTTAGGGATAATGAAGGGAGGTGTACCAATGATGTACCGAGGCCTCGGTATCACCGTGCATGGCATGGCGCAGACTGATTAGGCAATAATCAATCAGCGACTACCACTGTGACAATGATGACGCTACCGGCCTCGGTGGTACTCAGTCCTGCTAGCTATGCTGCTCCCCATCCACAGCAAGCGAAAGTGTATGAAGTCGCCACCACCAATGGAAGTGGCATGGAGCCTGCTCGAGCTCCACAAGCAGAGTACGCCGAACAACCCACAGAGGACCAGTGACCAATACCTAATAAAGATTGGTTGATATGCAAGCACATTGTGCCAGCAATGGTTGCCAGCCGGAGAACCCTGGTGTGCCAATAATGCTTGTTGCCCAACGAGTCCCTGGTGTCCTCAATTATTGTAAGCACGGCTGAGAAGATACTCGACGGCCCGATTCCGCCGACTGGCGCCCAACGCAGAACAAACATCCCAGGACAGTCCAGGGAAGTTAGCTTCCGTCTCTCAACCAATCAGGCGTGTAACGGCCGATAACCCTGTAAACTGCATCCTTGTTATCCTCACTCTGAGCTGTGAGTACCCAGTTGACCATGGGTGTCGGCGCAGTTCACCATGTGTAAAAAAAGTCTTTCACACGCTCCCTGCTACCAGCGCGGGTCTCGAACTCGGGACCTCATGATTCGCAGGCAGGTCTGCAAACCAATCGGCCACATGCGTTGGTCCTAATGAAGAAATACAAATACAAAAATACAATGCTGAGTGGCAGGCAGTACCTCAACCCAGCAAAGTTATCCAGCCTTCGTGACTAACTGCGGTTACCAGTCCACACCCAGCAAAGTTATCCAGCCTTCGTGACTAACTGCGGTTACCAGTCCACACCCAGCAAAGTTATCCAGCCTTCGTGACTAACTGCGGTTACCAGTCCACACCCAGCAAAGTTATCCAGCCTTCGTGACTAACTGCGGTTACCAGTCCACACCCAGCAAAGTTATCCAGCCTTCGTGACTAACTGCGGTTACCAGTCCACACCCAGCAAAGTTATCCAGCCTTCGTGACTAACTGCGGTTACCAGTCCACACCCAGCAAAGTTATCCAGCCTTCGTGACTAACTGCGGTTACCAGTCCACACCCAGCAAAGTTATCCAGCCTTCGTGACTAACTGCGGTTACCAGTCCACACCCAGCAAAGTTATCCAGCCTTCGTGACTAACTGCGGTTACCAGTCCACACCCAGCAACGTTATCCAGCCTTCGTGACTAACTGCGGTTACCAGTCCACACCCAGCAAAGTTATCCAGCCTTCGTGACTAACTGCGGTTACCAGTCCACATCCAGCAAAGTTATCCAGCCTTCGTGACTAACTGCGGTTACCAGTCCACACCCAGCAAAGTTATCCAGCCTTCGTGACTAACTGCGGTTACCAGTCCACACCCAGCAAAGTTATCCAGCCTTCGTGACTAACTGCGGTTACCAGTCCACACCCAGCAAAGTTATCCAGCCTTCGTGACTAACTGCGGTTACCAGTCCACACCCAGCAAAGTTATCCAGCCTTCGTGACTAACTGCGGTTACCAGTCCACACCCAGCAAAGTTATCCAGCCTTCGTGACTAACTGCGGTTACCAGTCCACACCCAGCAAAGTTATCCAGCCTTCGTGACTAACTGCGGTTACCAGTCCACACCCAGCAAAGTTATCCAGCCTTCGTGACTAACTGCGGTTACCAGTCCACACCCAGCAACGTTATCCAGCCTTCGTGACTAACTGCGGTTACCAGTCCACACCCAGCAAAGTTATCCAGCCTTCGTGACTAACTGCGGTTACCAGTCCACATCCAGCAAAGTTATCCAGCCTTCGTGACTAACTGCGGTTACCAGTCCACACCCAG